GATTAAGTTCACATTGATTAGAATTTTAAAATTATTTTACTCTTCACAATGCTTTGCACAGAATAGGTGCTAAATAAAAACTATGTGGTTGTTCAATAGATGTCACCAAATTCTTAACTCCTCCCAAGCTGATAGTTTTGAAACCAAATGTGCTGGTATAGAGTTAGTATACTTTTGCAGAGGAAGAAAATAGCCAAAACAAATATAGTGCTGTTACCATAAAAGAAAAATCAATATTTTAGACCTTAAATAAAAGGAAGTGTTTGACATGTGTGGACTTTTTTTTAACAAGGACACAGGGACCCAGACAGGGTTGGCTGAATATTTGTGTTGCTCTCAGTTTATAGACACAGCTGAAGCCCAGTGAAAGTATTTTGAATATACAAGATATTTTCAAAGATGTTTTGAGGGCACAAGAGACAAGATGAAGAAGACAAGTTTGTTTTTAATGAAAAAAGCAAAAAATAGATACAATTCAACTATAAAGGGAGAATTCAAAATTTAGATGTGGCTTAATAAAGTGGAACCAGATAAATCTTAACAAAGGTCTTGGAAAATCCAGGGCCTCAGTCTAGAAAGAAAGAATAACTGCTTACTGAAGCAGAACTGAGTAAGTGAAGACATATGGAATAAATTTCCAAGCAAAGCCCCCAAATCCGGTAATATAAATGAGTTCAAGAAATAACAGTACACTTTAACAAAGAAAGTTGAGATCAAAAGACGTAGCAATAAAGTTAATAAAAAAAAAAACTGAGATAACTAGATAAGAGCAGATTTTGGGTCAAATTGTCCATTTGTGCCTAGGTATTTCTTTATTTTTATCATAGCATACTGTAGTTTGAAGGTGCCTTCAGATATATAAATGAGACCCTTGGGCTTTGCAAGCAAACTTTTTGTGCTACCTGAAGCTCCTGATTGTGATTAGGAATGTTTCCTTCATCTGGCCCCCACACTCTTGTCATACTTAGAAAATGGTTCCTGCAAGTAAGTGGTAAAATAGAGCAATTATCATGTTCATCCATGTCTCCTGGTACCTTATTCAGGAAGGCAGATGGCTAGGCAAAACTATTACCCAGAAGTATAGACCAAGAAGTATAAACGTCTCTTAAGATGATGGCCATGGTGACAGTAGGGTCAAGTGAATAGTTACACAAAAAAACAAAGTGGCAAGTTTATAGATCACCATCTACCCTCAAAACCGTTGCATTCATAATATTCTGCCCAACGACATATTTGTCACATAAACAAAAGGCTGTTGTTCCCAATGTTTGCCCTCAAGTTGTTAGTTAGCTGCTGACCTCATAATCTGCACAGCTGTGGCATCCCAATATGTTGTCATGAAACAGATTGTGATGTCTTAATTGATCACTTTTAGAGGTTACAATTGTCAAGTGAGACCAGTATGCTGATTCTTATTAGTTAAATTAAGCCTTGTTACAGCAAAACTGGCAAATTCATTATAATGAATAGGAAATTCAGTGTAATTTACTGCATTTTATAGATTCGAACATATCCAAGGCTTTTTCTTTTTCTTCTTTTTGATTGTTTAAATTCGTGGAGGCTGTACCCCAACCATGCTTTTATTATACAATGAAGCAACTTAGAATAGTAAATGGAATGTAACCCCCCGCACCATATGCATCTTGGTGATAAGTTGGAGTATGCCATATGACACACACAATTTAAATCAGGCATTGATGTGCATGACTCTAAGTGAATTGGAGGACTCAGCTAAGAGTAGTGGATGTCAGGCTCTGCTGCAAACCGTCTGGCAAGAAGAATATTATGTTCTTCTCTATTGTGTAAAAGAACGTAGGCTCCTAAGAGGATGAGGAAGGGTCTTACATCAATGCCTGACCCCAAAGCACACCTCCTTGTGCCTCCATTTTGGTCATTGGTGAAGTCTTCGCTATGGCACTAATCTATAAAACTCTCTTTTCCAAGTGTCCCAATACACTCACTCACTTTGTATGGACTTATTCTCATCTGATGCCTGGACCACCTGCTACTCATATTAGTTGAGAAACCTTACTGTGACAGGGGTGATAAATAGTCCTTTTAATAGCAGAGTTTTAAGACAACTCATACATGGGCCTTTGTGCATTCTGCAAGTCAAGTTTTTTTCAAAAGTTTTATCTTTGACATTTCAAATAAACAGATGCCTTTGTCAGTCTAGCACATTTTATAGGAGTACAAATAAAAATGAAATAAAAGAAACTAATTTAAGTTAATGTAATAACTGTTAGCATCCAAAATGCAGGAGGAAGCACAAGGATGTTTATCAAAGCACTTTTTTATAGTAGAAAAAAACAGATAATAGCTAAATGCCCAGCAGTAGACAAATTGGTACATATGGTATATCCATATAATGGAATCTTGAGCAGGCATTAAAACTATCTCTAAGGGCTGACATGGGAAAGGTTGATGATTTTCGATTAATGGTTTCTCATTAAGTAAGAAACCAAAGTGGCCAAATTATATAAAGGGCATTTCTCAACCTGTCTAAAATAATATCTGTAGAAAGGAAAAAAATGACAAAAATAGGTGTAGTGTTACTGAATGATGAGAATATGGAAAGTTTTTTTTTTTTATCATTTTATCCTTTTTTTTTTTTAGTGTTTTGAGTTTCCCATATTACTTTACTAATTAGGGGGAAAAAGTTCTTGAAGCAGTTTGAGTAGCTTGTTATAACATTTGACTTAAGAGTCTTGTTCAGGCACCTCAAATCTAAATGGTCTGAAAATGAGCTCCTGATCTTCCTCCCAGATCCTGCTCTCCTAAAGGCTTCTTTCCTTCTCAGTTGAAGGAAATTTCAGCCTTCCAGTTGCTTAGGCTGAAAACCTGGAGCTAACTGTCCGTGACTCCTGTCTTTCTCTTACATCCCACCTTCAATCTATGGTCAATTCAATAGGCTGTACCTTCAGAATATTTCCAGAACATAAGCAGCTTCTCTCCATCTCCTTTGCTACTCAGTGTGGCCCACATCACTATCCTCTCTTGCTGGGATTGTAGCAGCAGCCTAATCCCCCGCTTCCACCCTGGCCTCCTTTTTATCAACTTTCCACACAGCTGCCAAAGCTGTTGCAACTCAGTTCGGCCATTCCTCTGTCCAGAGCCCTTCAATGGCACTTCATCTCATACAAAGTGAAAGGCCCTAAGTGATTTCTAACCTGCTATCTGTCTGGCCTCAGTACCTACTTGGCTCTCCCCACTGGCTCTGCCAGGCTACATTGCTCTTCCTATTATTCCTTTCCTACCTCAGGGTATTTGCATTGGTTTTTGCATTTTCTCTGCAGGAATGCTTTTTTCCTAAATATGCTCATGACCAACTCTTTCACTTCATTCAAGTCTTTCCTCAAATATTATTTTCTCAGCAAGGTCTTTTTCTGATTACTCCACCAACTCTCTCTCTCTCTCTCTCTCTCTCTCTCTGTCACACACACACACACACACACACACACTTGCACACACATACCTCCTAACCTCCTTTCCTGCTTTAATTTTCTCTATTTAGTACTTAGCCAAATTTAACATATTACATGGTATGATAGTTTATTTATTGCTTTTCTCCTGTGCCCAACTTGAATATAAGCTCTATGAGAACAGGAATTTTTGTTTACAGTTTTCACTGCTGAACTCTAACCCCTGGAACTGTACCTGAAACATCGTAGGTGCTCTGTGACTGCTGTGAGTGCCTACCATGGATAGGAACAATGATGTTACAGCTGTATGATGACTAACTGGTTGATTTTTATGCAGTAGCTTATCTCTCAATGTAATTATTTTAATTCAATTGCTTTCACTTCCTAACTTAACCAATTGAGCCTTTAATGTATTTCAGGGACTAATGGGGGAATGAGGTTAAAATGAAGAAGATAGACATTGTTCTGACATAGTTTACTGTCTAGTGGACATACATAATCCAACACAATACATAAAACAAGGACAGTACCCAGTTGAGAGAGGCTACTCACCAACAGGCACAATAAAAATTCAAGATCGAATGTCAGATACAAAATGTGGAATCTCATAGAAGGGTGATGAGAAAGATGTATATCAACAAAGCACATTGCTTCTTTATTACTGTTTTAAAAGAAAGGGTGACTATGTGGGAAAGAAGCAGCAAAAGCAATTTATTTGGTTGTTTTAGGACAACTGAAAGCAAGCAATAATGGAAAGGGCAGTGGGCTTAGAGTTAGAGGATCTAGATTTGAATCTAACACTGCAGTTTTATCATCTCCAAGTCCTGAAAGCTGATGCTTAACTTCTACGAGTCTCTGTTATCTCCGTGGTTAAATAAAAAGGGAGAAAGGGACTTAGACTAGCTCTAGAGACTGCCTTTGTATATACCTTCCCATCTAAAAGGAAGCCTTTCCTTATCCATCTAGGATAAACATAAACACGCAAGTCAATTAACATGATGACTTGAGGGAATCTCTAAAGGGTCTCTGTAATATTTCTGCTAGCCTGGGACTTATCTTAAGTAGTTACTGGTTCCAAAAATCTCTTTTGTAACCTCATTGTTTGCTGAACTCTTCATATTTTTATTAACTGTTCATAACCATTCATGCATACAAGCAAAATACATAATTGATCCCTGGATATGTTTCTTTTGCATTTCTTTTATAGCCACCAACCTTATTACAAAGATCAAATCTTTTCATATTTTCTTATTTCACCTGAAATTGCAGTTCTGAATAAAAATATTTATCATTTAGAGTGGAAAACAAATAACTATTTTTGCCTATAATTTTAAATCAGCCCATGGGGATTATAGGAATTAAAATTATTTTTTGACAGTATACGTTTTCTTTTTGAATGGAAGCATGCTGTTAACTGGATAATCTGTGGCAGAGACTGTAGGTTTGGTATTTGTAGGCACTTCAGAGATACATCCATATTTGGTAATTATACAATATCTGAACTTTTGTTTTCCCAGAGGAACTTGTTTCACTAAGTGGAATTTATTAATTTACATACCTTCTTTCTCTATTTTTCAGCCTTTGCAACTGGACTGTGACCTTTGTGCCATAGTGTCAAACTCAGGTCAGATGGTTGGCCAGAAGGTAGGAAATGAGATAGATCGATCCTCCTGCATTTGGAGAATGAACAATGCCCCCACCAAGGGGTATGAAGAAGATGTTGGCCACATGACCATGATTCGAGTTGTGTCCCATACCAGCGTTCCTCTTTTGCTAAAAAACCCTGATTATTTTTTCAAGGAAGCGAATGCTACTATTTATGTTATTTGGGGCCCTTTCCGCAATATGAGGAAAGATGGCAATGGCATCGTTTACAACATGTTGAAAAAGACAGTTGATATCTATCCGAATGCTCAAATATATGTGACCACAGAGAAGCGCATGAGTTACTGTGATGGAGTTTTTAAGAAGGAAACTGGAAAAGACAGGTGAGTCTTCTCTGAAGCAGCTTTTTTGTCTTTTATTATCTTTTATGGTTTATCTTTGCTGATTCCTTTTGCAAGATGTAAAATAAACAGTTATTTTTTAAGCCGATTGTTATATGTTCTGACTATTATGATTACTTGATAAGCCAGCCTGAGGTCTCATGTATTCCACCTATGCTACCTCCTGTTCTTTCCATTCTGATTGGTTTGAGTCTCCAAGAAATATTGGATACTTCCCCGAGGTATCTTTTGATTTTTTCTTATTTTGTTCCATTTCCTATTGATTAAGTTGGATTTCAGCTGAAAGAGGAAGCCTAAACATTTCTGTTTCAAAACCTAGTAATGGTAAGGAACTTTAGGATTATGCATTAGTCTAAACTCCTCTGGGAATTTTGCCAAAATTTTACCTGAGACCACAAACAGAACAGGCTATTGATTCTCCAATAAGATCGTGTAGCTTTTTGCATGCAAATAGGCACTGTGATCCTGAACATCATAACTTGGTGTCTGACTTGTTTAGCAGAATACCATATTGAAATTATATGTCACTTAAAATCATTAGCAGTGGAATTCTTTGAAATAAATGAGTTATAAATACCATTCATTCAATTATCCAAAAACCAATTTGCATTTTTTATTACATCCATATTTTTTGTGTAGCATTCTGTAAACTACACTTCCCACTTTGTTCCCTTGAAGCCTGATTGCTTCATTCTTTCCCCTCCCCTTCCTTGTCCTATGTCCTCTGTTTGCTCCATTTCCAGCTCCCTCATCTCTCCTGTAATTGGATTGTGTGCCATTTTTTCTTCCTTTTTAGAAAGATAACTATAAAATAGAGAAAACAGGAATTACAAATCAATCTTGGTTCTTATATCTAGCACTAATAAAGAACTGCTAAAGGAAGATATTGAAACCAATAGCTAAAGTTTTAAATTATCTGTGAATTTTGCTTATTTGTGCAATATCATGGTTAAATTGAGCATCTGCTATAGTTCCAATATTAGCATTCCAATTTATTCAAAGTATATGTATTTCACTATACAATATTATCAAATCTAAGCTTTTAACTGTATTGAGATATGTGCTTAGGGGGGTGCAGTTTCTGATATCTCTGGATGTCATTTGAATGCTGATGATTATTTAAAAATCTTAGGTGAATCAACTCTCCTTTGGTAATGTGGGTTGATCTGAATTTAACATTTTGTACTTCTGAGCGCCAAAAATACACAGCTTCATATGAAAAACAAGACAGAAATAGCCATGAAATACTACTTCCTCCGACTATATGACTTAGTAAGAAGAATCCCAAAGGTGAGATTTGAGTCAATGTAGCATAAACTGTCCAAAATGACAGGCAGTAGAGATGAAAGGAATAGGTATGGCACTTCAAAGAAATATGGTCATATGTCACACTATTCTATATAAATATGAAGCCTATTCACAAAGGGCTTTGGAAATTTCTTGTCTCTCATCAGCCCAGAGCATTGCAATTAATGAGATGTATTTGGCTTTTCGTTAGAGTTAACCCTCAAGATATCACCTAGACATAACTATAAGCCCTAGAGTCATTTGGCGGCGGGGGGAGGGGTGTCAGAGAAGAGCTTTGCATACTGTTGGTTCATGTTTTTATGTGTTTATTTCACATTGACTTTTGTCATGAGCTTTCATGGAGACAACACCATCAATATTTGTAAATTGTAAAAGAACTGGGAGAGAATAGCTTTGGGAGATCATTTTCTTACTGGCCATGATGAAAAAAGCTGTATAGTAGGAAAATTACTGGTAATTTTACTCAGTTGATAAAGTTAATTTGCTGGGTGTCATTCGATTGGTAGAGTTACCAAAATGAGAGTTGAAGAATATGGTTTCAGTTTATGGTGCATTCTTATGTTTCTCACTGAGTCTATTTCTGTCTGGTTACTTCACTGAGTACTCCAACCAGACAAGAGAAGACAACTATGCTAGTGTTTTAGAAATGGACAGAACGGGTGATTTAAGTAGAGCCTGGTTGGATGACAAAATGTTGACCAAAATGACCTCAGAAGCTGCTGTTCCCAGTCTATATCCTAATGACACCTATGTTAAAGACTTTTCTTGTCTAAGAATTTCCCATGGCAATCTGATATTCATTGTCAAATTTCAAACTAGAATATATTATTCAACTTTTCATGAAGGAAAATGTCAAACTTATAAAGTAGAGACCCTAGTGGTATAATGAGCCTCTGCATAACCACCACTTAGCTTGAATAATTATAAATCCATGACCAGTATGGTTTCATCTATACCCCTACACACTTTCTCTCTCACCAAAGATTATGTTGAAACAAATCTCAGATATCATATAATTTTATTTATAAATATTTTGGTGTATATCTTTAAAAGATAAAGATTCTTAAAATTAATACAATACCATTCCTCTACATAAAAATCAACAATTCTGCCATAATATCATTATATATTTAGTTTTCAAATTTCCCAATTGTCTCATTGGTATATTTTTCATAGTTTGTTTTAATTAGGATTAGCATAAGGTTCATACATACTAATTGATTGATATGTGTCTTATATTTCTCCTAACCTGTATAGCTACTTCCCTGTCTCTCCTTCTCTCTTCTGTCTCCTTCTCTATCTGTTGTTGAAGAAACCTAGGCATTAGTTGTATAGAGTTTTCCACAATCTAGATTTGTTAATCACATTCCCATGTTCTTTCTTTTTCTTCTACACTGATATTTGTGTATTGAGGCTTGGTTGGAATCAGGTTTTTTTTTTTTTTTTTCCCCCAAAACCATTAGGTGGTTCTTCTCTCAGGAGAAATACTCTCTAATTTTCTATTTTTTATGTTAGATACCATTAATGATTATTTGCCAGATTAAATAATTTATTAGGATTGCACAATGGTACTATTTCATCATATCCTTTTTATTCATTAGCTGATATACTTTATTAAGAGTAATTTACCCTCTTGTTCATTTGGTTACTAGGAGATAGAAACCAATACTCTTCTCCTCTTTCTTTACCAGTTTTAATGTACTAGTTTCCTCGCATTCTCTATAGGTGACCAGTATTATTGATATTTACATATTAGCTTACAGACTTAAACATACTTGAAGTATTTTAATTTATTAAAATTATACCCTTATGCTCAGATTGTCCTATTTTGGCCTATGGGAACCTCTTCAAATTGGCTTTGAGTCCTTTTGACATGCCCTTAGTAGCCTTTGATAGCTTCTTTGTTTCCTAGTATTATGGGATGTTTCAGGCTTTTGTTGTACGTATTCCGAGGCAGACCTGCATTCAGACATTTCTCCAAAGAACGTCAGTTTCTTTTAGTAGTTAAGAGAGCATAATATTAGCACCATGGCTGCTCATTGCTACTGGGTTGGACTTTGTTTCTTGGGCTTTACAGTAGACAGAGCTAGCACATAAACAATATATACTGTGTATATTGTTTAAAGATAAAATCATTATGAGTTCAAACCGAAACTTTCAATTCAAATCCAGGGCTAATAGGTTTTAAGTTTACATCCTCTATTCTACATCTGTTCCTTCTTTTTACCATGCTGACAATCACAGGTCTCAGAGATTTCAATGTACTTATTCATCTGCTTTATTCCACAACACACACACACACACACACGCACACGCACACACACACATACACTAATCTTAGAGTAAGAATAACAGCACAACAAGCAATATAATTATGGTAAACACTTTAAGGATATTTTGCATCAAAGAACATTTGAATGAATGGCAAGCATTTGTGTGGATCTGTGCTCACAAAGTATATGTTGGTTATAGTCTCCAAAAAAGTTTTTGACATTTTTTTCCTAATAGGAGTGAATTCAGTGGTATACATCACTGCAGGCATGAGGAAATGGAGAATAAGGGGTGTCCATTTAATTTTGCTTTAATTGTAAAGCTATTTTGTTTGATTTGCCTGTACTTATTAGAACTTTTTAGCAAGTACTTATTTTCATTATCAAGTTTTTAACATAGAGACAATGTCATCATTATATATAATTTATAGAATTAAAAAAATATGTCACTAGTAGTTAAAGTGATTCATGATAGGAAAATGATTACATGGAGTTCCTCAAAGAAAACTTTGCTTCTCAGCTTGCTTCTTAAAATTGTAAAAATACTTTAAATAAATATATAGTCTTTCCATTTAAGGTGGGCATGTTTTCACTTTTCCAAGTATTGTGGAGTTTTTTATTTTTTATTTTTTATTTTTATTTTGAGATGGAGTCTCACTCTGTCACCCAGGCTGGAGTGCAGTGGTGTGGTCTCTGCTCACTGCAACCTCTGCCTCCCAGGTTCAAGCGATTCCTCTGCCTCAACCTCCTGAGTACCTGGGACTACAGGCATGCACCACCATGCCTGGTTAATTTTTGTATTTTTAGTAGAGATGGGGTTTCACCATATTGGCCAGGCTAGTCCCGAACTCCTGACCTCGTGATCCACCTGCCTAGGGCTTCCAAAGTGTTGGGATTACAGGTGTGAGCCACCACGCCCAGCCAGCATTGTATTTTTTGTCTTAAGGAATTCCTCATTGAGGAAACATGAAGCAGTAGAAGAAATATGTATATCATTCAAATGTCTTAGAATAAGTTTAGGCCAACTCACAAGCATATTGGAATATCTTTTTTGAAGCAAATGGAATTTAATTTGCCTTTTTTTTAGTTACTGTCTAAAATTATTTGGCTTGTCAATTAGAGAGGGTGACCTTGTGGGAAAGGCTAAGAGAGCAGAAAGAGAAGGCTGCTTTCCCTTTCTGTCTATATCTTCTGGGACCCAGTTTTTTTTTTCTTTTTCTTTATTTTTTCTTTTTTAATTCTAGGTTCATTAGTTAGTGGTCACTTTTAGATTGTCACCTACCAAATATACTTCTGGAAAACAAGTATTGTGAATTCTACAGAACTTTCATTTCTTCCAGAAATCTTTGAAATTAATGGTTTTATATTCAAAACAATCTGGACCAAAATACCTCTTCCCCTTGG